TGCTGATGTCCAGCCTACCCTCTACTCCTAACCCTCCTGCTCTGGCCTGACTGACCGCCACCCTCAGCCCAGCCCTGGAAGCTGGGTCCCCATCCACTGGCTGCACCCTCAGGGCCCCTGACAAGCTCTAAAGCACCGTCAGCCCCAGGTGCTTGGTGACATAGCTGTTCCCAGGCATTTGGGTCCCAGATACAAGCCAGGCTGGGATTCCAAGTATTTGCTGAGCACTCACTGTCCCCAAGCCAGAGAGGAGGCCCCCTCACTCAAGCAGCTGGCATTCCAGTGGAGAGCAGTCGGCGAACCACGGAAGCGCTCAGCACGCATAAGTGCACAGTGCTAGGGAAAGGGGGGCCCAAGCTGTGGGGCACCGATTGGGTAGGGCCTGCTGAGCCTGCCAGTTCTGGGTTTGAGGGCCTCCACTGGGGTGTCCCATGTCTAGGCGGTCTGGATAATGTCCCTTGGAGACAGCCAGACCTGCCCTGGGCCAGGGACTCCTAAACCTCCCAGCTTGGCAGACTCCGGTTGCAGTGGGAGCCATGCTGGATTTGCACTGACTGGGTCTGGCCAGCGGGAGGTTTTCTCCGTAGCTCTGCAAAGCCCACCTAACTGCAGGCCCCCCAACCCTCCCCAACAACCCTGCACTTCCTGCCACCCAGGGCCTACCCACCTGCCTTTGGTTGTCATGGGGTAAAGGAGCCTCAGGTGTAGGTACAGACTAACCATCTCGGCCTGCCACATATAGTAACTCCAGTGGTTCACATGGCAGCTGAGTCCAGGGTCCTGGGAGGATGTGTTTGCATTTCACACACCCAAGGAACTTGTCCGGGAGACCTGGAGAGCAAACCCCCTACACACAGTGACTTACAGCATGAGTGTGCTTGTCACCCTGGATCTAAGACAGCTATGGCCCCGCAGTGCTCCGTGGGGCAGGCCCTTCCCTGGCAATGGCCCTATCAGCCAAGCAGTTAGAACCCCTGCTCACATCATATCCACGTTCATGGCCAAGGTCAGCAGGAGGAGGAGGGACATAGCTGCAGAGTCCCGAGGCCGAAAGCATGGACGAAGCTGGGGGGGGTGATGGCCAGGACCACAGCCCAGTTGCCGGGGCTGACTCCCGGCCGGTCCCCACAGCAGGCTCTGGCACAGGTGGACGACCTCCGACTGGTGAGGGTGCTGGAGATGAGCGTGGATACGCGTGAGAGCAGCCTGCGCAACTTCGGTGAGAGCCCGCCTGCCCCGCCCACATCACAGCCAGCCCTCTCCGTGAAACCGCCGGCGTTTCCTGGGTGCTGCCGTACACCTGGACACCATGTCTGTTCCCTTAGGATGGCCCCTAGACCTGATCCATGTCGCACAGGCCGTGGTCCTACCCTGTGACCCGTATTTCCAGACTCCCCTTCGGGAGGCGTGCCCAACACCCCAGCACCCCAAGCAGCAGAGACTAAAATAGGACACAGCAGTACACGGTGCTCCAGAAGATACTCTGAAATCATTTTGAACTTACAGAAACTGCAGGGTAGTACAGAGCTCTCCCTTATACCGTCCACCTGATCCTCGTTCACAGCTGCCACGTTTGCCTACTCATTCTCTCCTCTCTCGGATATGCCCATGCGCGCGCACGCGCACACACACACACACACAAGGACCACAGCCCAGTTGCCGGGGCTGACTCCCGGCCGGTCCCCACAGCAGGCTCTGGCACAGGTGGACGACCTCCGACTGGTGAGGGTGCTGGAGATGAGCGTGGATACGCGTGAGAGCAGCCTGCGCAACTTCGGTGAGAGCCCGCCTGCCCCGCCCACATCACAGCCAGCCCTCTCCGTGAAACCGCCGGCGTTTCCTGGGTGCTGCCGTACACCTGGACACCATGTCTGTTCCCTTAGGATGGCCCCTAGACCTGATCCATGTCGCACAGGCCGTGGTCCTACCCTGTGACCCGTATTTCCAGACTCCCCTTCGGGAGGCGTGCCCAACACCCCAGCACCCCAAGCAGCAGAGACTAAAATAGGACACAGCAGTACACGGTGCTCCAGAAGATACTCTGAAATCATTTTGAACTTACAGAAACTGCAGGGTAGTACAGAGCTCTCCCTTATACCGTCCACCTGATCCTCGTTCACAGCTGCCACGTTTGCCTACTCATTCTCTCCTCTCTCGGATATGCCCATGCGCGCGCACGCGCACACACACACACACACACACACACACACACACACACACACAGCTAGACAACTGTGTCTGAGCACTGGAGACCTGAAGCCCCTTCATATGTGGGCTCTTCTGGGTGTGTTTCCTAACAGGGAAGCATTCTCTTACAAACTCAGTGCGAGGACCGCGGGCCGGAAGTGACACGCCCTAACCCATGCTGCAGACAGCATTCCGGCTTCCCCGGCGTCCGCTGTGGGTTTGCATTTCTCTGACTGCGGTGAGGTCAAACGCCTCATCTTGTTTGGTCTTTTCTGTTTAGCAATGGCCTGTGACGTTCTCAGTCGCTTAGTTTTGGCCACTCTGTGCACCCATGAGGTCGTGTGGCCACGTGCATTCACCCGAGCCCTTCCCAACACACGTGTTCTTCAGGCCGCTGCACCCCAAGGGCCCACCCTGAGCCCTGTAGAACTGCCCTATGTGGCTTCTTCCCATGGTTCTGGGATTCTGTCTCCCAGGGTCAGTGCCTCATCCTGGAGAGGACTCGAACTCGGAGCCCTTGTCTGGGACTTTGGGTCATGCAGGGGCACAGGTTGGGTGTTCTGTGATTTTGCACCCCATGCTGCAAATTGATAGAAACTGTGGTCTGGGGGTGCCTAGGCCAGTGGGTGGGCTGTGGGAAGTGGGTCAGGAGCAGGACGAGGCTCCAGGACCCAGAGGGGAGCCGGCCCCAGCAGCACCAGCCTGGCTCCTTTTCTACAAGCCAACTCCTGGAGTGCAGGGTCTTATGGCCTTCCGGGGCAGCATGCGTCACATGTCACCTGTCCATGAGGGTGTACCTTCTACCCAGGCCAGGCCACAGACGTGGTGTGTGCGCCCGGAGGTTATTGAGAGGCTCGGGAAGCTGGGCTGGATCCTGCTAGTGGCTCCCCACACAAGGTCCACTGCAAGCAGCACCTGGAGCCTGGCCTGTCCCTCCTACAGGCAGAGCAGTGGCAGAGGGTCACTCCTCACTCCATGGCCCGGGAGAGGCTGGCCTGGAGCAGCAGGCAACAGCGGGGAAGAGGGAATTCCAGGGGTGCTGGTGACGGGACTAAGTGTGGCGAGGTGCACTGAGGGGACAGGACGCAGGCCTGTCCAACTTCTCAAACCTCCTGTGGCCCCACAGGGGTGCACCTGCCCAACCTGAGCCAACTGAAGTTGAATGGCAGCCGTTTGGGCTCCCTCCGGTAAGTGACTCGTCTGGGGGAGGGGTGCCCGAGAATGGGCCCTGAGGGTCCCTCGGGTCTGGAGAGTCGACTGCATGCTGCTGGAAGCCCCTGGCTGGCCCCTGGAATGACCCTATGGAGATGACGCTGCTCCTGGGCATGTGGGGGGTGGGGGTCTGGTACATTCCCATGGATGTGAGATCTCTTGAGTGTGGGGGCTGCCCCCGGGTCCCTCTACAGTGGGTCCCTGTTGAGAGGATAAGGTCCCACCCTGGACCGGATGGCCCCTGAGTTCCCCTGCGGTGTCGGTCCAACCTCATTGCAGCCTGGCTGCATGAAAGGTCCTGTCAGGACCAGCAGTTGGCGTAATGGCTACATCGCTGGACTCCCATGTAGCCAACCGCAGTTCGAGTCCCGGACCCGGTGGCTTAAACTCACGCCAGGACGTATGCGTGTGTACCCAAGATCCCAAGAGGAGAATGGAGGAGAAGGGATTGTGGTGTGGCCTTCCCCCCTGGCGGGTGATTTCTTGCTTTCTGTCTCTCTCTGTCTTTCTGGCAAGCTCACGTGCCCTATAGCAAAACTCTCCAAAAAAGAAAAAAAATGGTCCTGTCCACCTATCCATGAGCGGCCCCGGCTGTGGGTAACAAGGCATCATGCAGAGCTGAGGATAAGGTCAGGGCAGGCACAGCAGTGAGAGGTCTCTGATGGACATCTCAAACCAACCAAGTCCTGGAGGGTCTGGCCTCCCCACCCTCTCACCACAGCCTAGGGCATCGGCCACACCATGAGGGCCAGGAGCTTAGAACCAGGCTGGTGGCCCTAGCAAAGAAGAGCAGGTGAGCATGACTTAGCCTAGCCTTCCCCACAGAGCAGGGACCACACCGTGGACCCCACACAAAACGTGGAGCTCCCAGGGTGTCCTGCTGAGGACACTCAGCCTTCTCATTCCAGAGCACCTCTGCAACTAACTGGAAGACCACATGCAACACCAAAGGCCGCTGAATGGTCTCTGTCCATCCCACTGGACCAGGAAGGACAACGCTCAGGGAGCAGCAGACTTTATCTGGGGGTCTGGACGGAGTGTTTTACAAAAACACTGTTGGTTTGACATAGTCCAGGCCTAACAGCCTCATGCAGAGAATTCCAGTCGGAATCCGGGGAACATTCTTAGGAAAATTCTAGGAAATTCTTGCCCAGTTCAAGTCCCAGATCAAGCGGCTTATAAATCATGCTGGTACATGTGTGTGCATGCCTAAAATCCTGAGAGGAGAATGGAGGAGAAGGGATTCTGGCCTGGCCACCCGCACCAGGGGTTGATTTCTCATTTTCCCTCCCTCTGTCTCTAGCAAGCAATAGTTCCCTATGGCAAAAACCTTAAAAAAAAAAAAATCTAGAAAATTCTCTCATTGCTTGAATTGGACCCTAAATGCCATACCCCATTACTTCCAGGTGAAGTGATAAAGGTGCTTTTTTTTTTTTTTTTTTTTTGGAGGGGGGGAGGTTTTTGCTATAGGGCACATGCGCTCACCAGAAAGATAGAGACAGAAAGTAAGAAATCACCCCCCAGGGGGGATGGTCACATCGCAATCCCTTCTCCTCCATTCTCCTCTCGGGATCTTGGGCACTCACGCACACGCGCCCGGCAAGAGTTTAAGCCACCATATCCGGGATTCTTTTCTTTCTTTTACTTTTTTTTCTTTTTTTTTGAGAGGTTTTGCTATAGGGCGCGTGCGCTCTCCAGAAAGACAGAGAAACAGAGAAACAAAGCGAGAAATCACCCCCCAGGGGGGATGGTCACATCGCAATCCCTTCTCCTCCATTCTCCTCTTGAGATCTTGGGCACGCACGCACACGCGCCCGGCGTGAGTTTAAGCCACTGGGTCCGCGGTCGACTACGTGGGAGTTCAGCGACATAGCCATTACACTAACTGCTGGTTCCGATAAAGGTACTTATTAAGCCACCCCATTTTAAATGTTTTCTTGACTTTCTGTATTTATACCACTGTTTATCAAATAAACATCAAAGGAATTTAATAAAATATGTGAAGATCTGGAAATGGAAGTAAAGAAAATTGGAAGGCAGTGAGGACCAGCAGGTGACGTGGTGGTTAAGGCACTGGACACTCCCACATGGCCAACCATGGTTCAAGTCCCAGACCTGGTGGCTTGCTTTCTCGCTTTCTCTCTCTCTCTTTCTCTCTCTCTGTCTGTCTCTGGTCAAATTAAAATATATGAATGAATAAATAAAAAATTAAATAATTCTTAAATTGAAAAAAAAAAAAAGAAAGAAAAGAAAATTGGAAGGCACCTTGGCCCTCAGTGGGCAGCCCGCAGAACTGCAGCAGTGTTGAAGTTATCCTGACCTCTGGCAGGCTCACAAACACCGTGAACCAGAGGAAGGGTTTGGAAAACAGACTTCTTAGAATTGTGTCTTCAGTACATGATTAAATGATATTCTAGAGCCAGCAGGGAACATGGGAGTTAAGGCACTGTATTCCCACATGCCTGACCATGGTTTGAGTTCCATACCCAGTGGCTTGAAAAATCACTACAAATAGGGGCCAGCAGATGGCATAGTGGTTTAATCGCTGGACTTCCCTATGACTGACTGTGGTTTGAGTCCCTGACCCAGTGGTTTGAAAATCATGCCAAGTGCATGTGCGTGCATACCTGCCCGAGCTCCCAGGAGGAGATAGAGAAGAAAGGGTTGTGGCGTGGCCATTCCCCCTGGGGGGGATTCCTCACTGCCTCTCTTTCTCTCTCTCGCTCCCCAGCAAGCACACGTGCCCTAAGGCGGAAAAAAGAAAGAAATCCCAGACCCAGTGGCTTGAAAATCATGCTGGGCGCATGTGCATGCGTGCCCGATATCCCAGGAGGGGAGTGGCAGAGAAGGGATTGCAGCATGGCCATCCCCCCTCCGGAGTTATTTCTCACTTTCGCTCTCTGATTCTGTCTCCCTCTGTCTCTGGTGAGCACATGCACCCTGTGGCAAAAGCCTGTAAAGTATAAAAGTGATATTCTAACAGAGAGAGCTATACTATTTATGAGAGAAGAGAAGTTAAAGCTAACAAATTAGCTCAAAGGGTACTAGCAGTATATAAAAGGCGTGTAAAATTAAATGACAGGTATAAACTGTGAAAGAGAAGTAGAGGGTTATGAAATTAAGAAATATGATATACTAGAGTGTTTTGTTTTGTTCTGTTTTTAGTTTGTTATAGGGCATGTGTACTTACCAGAGAGAGAAAGTGAGAAATCACCCCCCAAGGGGCCAGTAGGTGGCATGGTGATTGGGGGCGCTGGACTCCCACGTAGCCGACAGGTTTGAGTCCCAGAACCGGGACTTGCTTTCTCACTTTCCCTCTCTCTCTCTTGCTCTGCTCTTCTCTGGTCAAATTTAAATAAATAAATAAAGTCAAATAAAATCATTTTTTTAAATCTGCTTTATATCAATGGGGAAAAATAATTCTTAAAAAAAAAAAAAAAGAAAGAAAAAGAAATCACCCCCACTCCCAAGAGAAATGGCCACACACAATCCCTACGCCTTCATCCCCCTTCCGGGAGTTTGGACACACCCGCGCACACACACCTGGCATGTTTTTCAAGTCGCTTGCGAACCTCCGCAGATTACAAAGGAACCTAAGATGTTAAAAGGAAAATATCTAATTAAATAGGACAAGCCAAGAACTGAACACAGCTGGATTAAATACAGTATATTGGGGCCAGCAGGAGGCGTGGTAGTTAAGGTGCTGGACTCCCACATGGCTGACCACGGTTCAAGTCCCGGACCTGACAGCTTGCTTTCTCTCTCTCTGCTGAGCACCTGTCTCCTACTGGAACATTTTAATAACAATAATAAAATTAAATAAGTAAATCTTTGAAAAATACAGTATAGTAAAGTCTCAGACGGTATTATAAGGTCTGGGAAATTATGTGAATTGCACTTTCGTCAGGAGTTGCAAGAGAATTTCAGCGCCTGAAAACACTGCTGACGTGAGGACGAAGGTTCTGTGCACACGGGCTGGAGCTGCCCAACCGCCGCGGGCTCGGCAGGAAAAGGCCACCACGCTGCAGCAGCCTGGATCCGTCACGGTGGCCTTTGCTTAGTGCCAACCGTGCGAAGAGGCCACACTGACAATGTCTGCAGTTCACGGGTACAGCCAGGCGCCGCTTCAAGATGTCTCAGCCAACGAAGGACACACAGGCAAAGGAGTCCCATAAGATTACAACGCAGGGCCAGCCCACAGGTGGAGTTAGGGTGGCTGGGTCCCACATGGCCGCCACCTCCGATAGACTTCACCATGCAAGTCCTGAACCCAGCGGCTTGAAAAACGCTCCAGGCATGAGTGCGTGCATGCCCAAAATTCCAAAAGGAGAGTGAAGGATTGTGGCGTGGCCATCCGCTGGGGTCTGCTTTCCCTATTTCTCTTTCTCTCTCTCTGTATCCGGCGAGCACATACATCCGAGAGCAAACCAAAAATAAATAAATATATTTTTAAAAATAATATTGACTGCTAATTCACATCTTTTTTTGTAAGTGACAGTCCTTTAATTTCCTAGTATGGCAGTTCCCTGGCTCTGGAATCAAGGATTAACCCATAAAGTGACTCTCCTACTTGTTCTTCCTGTCCATCGCTCTGTTTTGAAACTTTGCATATAAGGTATTACATTTTGGAAAAGGTAGAAATTATCTATTCCGTAATAGTCCATAGAATTTACCTATAGAGGACCAGCAGTTAGCATAATGGCTATAGGTCGCTGGACTCCCATGTAGTCGGCTGTGGTTCACGTCCTGGACCTGGTGGCTTAAATTCACGCGGAGCACTTATGCGTGCCCAAGATCCTGAGAGGAGAACGGAGGAGAAGGAATTGCGGTGTGGCCATCCCTCGAGGGGGTGATTTCTCGCTTTCTGTCTGACTCTGTCTTTTTGGCGACCGCATGCACCCTATAGCAAAAACCTCTCCAAAATTAAAATAGAATTTACCTTTAGGGACCAGCGTAATGGTTACATTGCTGACTCCCAGCGTAGTTAACTATAGTTCCAGTCCCAGAGCTGAGGCTTAAACTCATATTTGGCACGCGTGCATACATACCGAAAATCCCAAGATGGTCACGGAGGAGAGGGATTGTGGTGTGGCCATCCCCCCAGAAGGTGATTTCTCACTTTCTGTCTCTGTCTCTCTGTCTCTCTGTCTCTCCGTCTAATATACACAGACTATAGCAAAAATCTCTCGAAAAAAAACTTTTACAAGGCTGACTCCACTCATGCGGGGCGCGTGTGCGTGCGTGCCCAGGATCCCGAGAGGAGAATGGAGGAGATGGGGTTGTGGTGTGGCCATCCCTCCTGGGGGGTGATTTCTCGCTTTCTGTCTCTCTGTCTTTCTGGCAAGTACACGTGCCCTATAGCAAAAACCTCTCAAAAAATAAATAGAAAAAAATTTTTAAATAAATTACTTTTACCTTTCTTTCTTTCTTTCTTTCTTTCTTTCTTTTTATTTCTTTCTTTTTTTAATATATTTTTGTCATAGGGTGCTATCAAGAGACCAAGAGAGGAAGAGGGAGAAATCACCCACCAGGGGAATGGCTACACCACAATCCTTTCTCCTCCATTCTCCTTCAGGATTTTGGATATGCATGAACACATGACTGGCGTGATTTTTTTAAAGAAGTTTTTGCTATAGGGCGCATGTGGTTGCCAGAAAGACAGAGAGAGACAGAGAGACAGAAAATGAGAAATCACCCCCTAGGGGGGGTGACCACACCGCAATCCCCTCTCCTCTTGGGATCTTGGGCATGCATGTACACATGTCTGGCATGAGTTTAAGCCGCTGGGTCTAGGGTTCGAACTGTGGTCAACTACATGGGAGTCTAGCGACAAAGCCATTATGCCAACTGCTGGTCCAACTGGTGTGATTTTTAAACCCTGAAGGCAGTCATGAGGGATCCAATACCTTAACCAGTTTGCCACCTGTGGGCCCACAAGTTGTCTTTTTTCCTTTTTTAAGATTATTTTCAATTTTATTATCATTTTAAATAATTGTTTATTATTATTCTTCTATTTGACCAGAGAGAGACAGAGAAAGAGAGAGGAGAGTGAGAAAGCAAACTGCTAGGTCCGGGACTTGAACCATGGTCAGCCATGTGGGAGTCCAGTGCCTTACCCACCATCCCACCTGCTGGTCCGTTATTACTATTATTATTTTATTATTAATATTATTTGACCAGAGAGAGACAGAGAGAGAGGGAAAGTGAGAAGGCAAGCCATCAGATCTGGAACTCAAACCACAGTCGTCCATGTGGGAGTCCAGTGCCTTACCCACCACACCACCTGCTGGCCCCTCAAGTTGTCTTTTTTTAATATATAATTTTATTTAACTTTTGTTATTATTATTATTATTTGACCAGAGAGAGATAGAAAGAAAGAGAGAGGGCAAGTGAGAAAGCAGACCACGAGGTCCAGGACTCAAACCGTGTTTTGGCCATGTGGGCGTCCAGCACCTTTAATCACCACGCCACCTGCCACCGCCCCACCCTCAGATTGTCTTTGGAGGATAGAAGAAGTGAAGCTTTCCTTAGCCTTCTCCGCAAAAACAGTCTAACTCCGAAGACAGCGGAGCAGTGCCTACGTAGTCCTGCGGGAAAATGACAGGAACCCAGAACTTTATTCCTAGCCCAAGCACAGAGGAAGTGAACATTTGGCTTTGTTTCATTTTTGAGAGATTTTTGGTATAGGGTGTGAAGGCTTGCCAGAGACAGAGAGAGACAGAAAGTGAGAAATTACCCCCTGGGGAGATGGCCATGCCGCAATCCCTTCTCCTCCATTCTCCTCTCAGGATTTCGGTCACGCACGCACACGTGCCCGGCATGAGTCTCAAGCCACCAGTCTGGGACTCCAGCAGTTGGCCATGTGGGAGTCCAGAGTCTTAACCACCACATTACCTATTGGCCTGGCAGTGAACATTTGTGAGTGAGTTCAGAATTAAGGCGTTCCCATTAGTCCCTCTTGAAGAACTCACTGGATGCATGGGGCTAGAAGGTGGCATGGTGATTAAGGGTGCTTGACTCCCACATGGCTGACTGTAGTTCAAGCCCCAGATCTGGCAGCTTGCTCTCTCTCTCACTATCCCTCTCTGGTCAAATTTAAATTTAAAAAAAGTAAATAAAATAATTCTTTTTTTGTTTTAATTTACTCATTGTTATTATTATTATTATTATTATTGAAGTCGACCAGAGAGAGACAGCAAGAGAGAAAGTGAGAAAGCAGGCGGCCAGGTCCAGGACTCGAACTGCAGTCAGTCATGTGGGAGTCAGTCAAGCCGCCTTATCCACCACACCACCTGCCAGCCCCAATAAAATAATTCTTAAAAAAAAAAATTTAAAAACCTCACTGGATGACAATTCCAGCCACCAGCCACTAAGAGATGATCGAAAAAGCCATTTAAGGCGACGGCTGGGGTTGGCAGGGATTCTGTGGAACTGAAGGACAGACTACCGCGGATCCGGACAACAGAAGAAAAGCTCAGCACCCAGCAGACGGGTTGCATAGTGGATGAGCAGCAACCCAGGCAAGGTCATGGACTGGGCAGAGCCGGAGAAGTTACCCTTGGGGAAATCCACGGTTGTCCCTAATACCTCAACGCTAAGGTGGTGTTTGCACACGGAGAAAGTGAGGAGACCAGCTTTGCAGCACCCAGAGAACGAGCATCCCGCAGGGAGGAGGCCAGTGCACGGTCAGGTGTGGACATGCACGGCGCATCTCAGGGACACACGAGGCCAGCATGGCTGCAGTGCAGGAAGCACAGGGATGTCGCTGCCCATGTCCACCTCCAAACCAGCCCCTCCACGTCGGTGGCCCCGCTGGCTAGGGCTTCTCAGCAGCACTGCAGCCCTGTCCTCCCACTCGCACACCCAGGAAGCAGTTAATAGTACAGTGAGAAACGCTGGCTCAGCGTGGCAGTACAGCTGCCCGACACGGCTGCTCAGCAGGCAGGCCACACAGGGGGCCTTGGCTCCATTCATGCCCACCCTAAAAAGCCATGCGTGGGACCAGTGGATGGCATAACAATGATGTTGCTGGCCTCCCACATAGTCGACTGCAGTTCGAGTCCTGGACCTGGAGGCTTAAAACTCACTCTGGGTGTGTGTGCCTATGTGCCTGAAATCCCAAAATGAGAATGGAAGAGAAGGGACTGCGGTGTGGCCATCTCCCTAGGGGGTGATTTCTCGCTTTCTGTCTGTCTGGTGAGTCCATGTGCCCTATAGCAAGAAGTCTCGTACCTGCAGCGTGAAAGGGAAGAGGCCTGCCACCCTCCGCATTGCAGCAGGCGGGTGCTGGGCCAGGCGCAGGCTCTCCAGTGCTTATAGCAGGTGGGATCTACTCATGCCCGAGACCAAGAGGCTGTGGCAAGGGGGGAAAGGCAGGAAGTTGGAGGACCCTGGAGCTCCTCGCTGGAGACCCCTGTGAGCCAGTCACAAAGGCCCCTGTACTAGGCCAGCCAGTGGGACGTTGGTTACTGCAGCTGGATCCCTTGTGACCGACTGTGACCGACCCAGCGGCTTGAAAAATACACTGGCGGGCCAGCAGATGGTGTGGCGGTCACGTTGCTAGACTCCTATATGGATGACCGTAGTTCGAGTCCTGGACTGGTGCAAGTGGTATGGCATAATGCTTAAGGCGCTGGACTCCCACATGGCCAGCATGGTTCAAGTCCTGGACCTGGCAGTTTTCTCTCTCTCTCTCATATCAAATTGAATAATAATAGTAAATAAATAAAATTAAATAAATAATTCTAATAAAAGAAAGAAAGAAAATCATGCCAGGTGCATGTGCGTGCGTGCCCAAGATTGTGGGAGGACACTAGAAGAGCAGGGATTGTGGTGTGGCCATCCCCTTATGGGGAGATTTTTCACTTTCCCTCTCACTGTCTCTGTCTCTGTCTCTCCAGCAAGGGCATATGCCCTAAGGCAAACACCTCTTTAAATTAAAAAAAAAGAAAAATGAGGGCCAGTGGCGCTGGGCATGCCCCAAATTCCCAGAGGATGGAGAAATGGAGGAGGGGACTGCAGTGTGGCCATTCGCCATGGAGGCGCCTTCTCACTCTCCCTCTCCCTGGCAAGCACACATGTTCTGTAGCAAAATTTGAAGGAAAGAAAGAAAAAAGAAAAAAAAAAAAAAAAAAAAAAAAAGGCGGGAGGCAGCCAAGAGGGCAGGGGCTTAGCACAGGGCCTCCCCCACCGGATACATGGCCCTCCCCTGACAGCACTGACCGCGCCCCTCCCCCTTCCTTGCCTTCTGCAGAGACCTGGGTACCTCTCTGGGCCGCCTGCAGGTACTGTGGCTGGCTCGCTGTGGCCAGGCCGACCTGGACGGCATCAGCTCCTTCCCAGTGCTGAAGGTGGGTCTGCCGCGGCCGGGGCTGGGGGGCTGCCGGCGGCCCTGGCTGAGCCCATGCCACTGCAGGAACTCTACGTCTCCTACAACAACATCGCAGACCTGAGCCCGCTGTGCCTGCTCGAGCAGCTCGAGGTACTGGACTTGGAGGGCAACAGCGTGGACGACCTGGGGCAGGTGCGCTACCTGCAGCTGTGCCCACGGCTGGCCACACTCACCCTGGAGGGCAACCTGGTGTGCCTGCGGCCGGCCCCCGGCCCCTCCAACAAGGTGGGTGTGCTGGACGCTCGGCCGTGTATGTGGATCCAGCCCCTCGGCCCTCCCCTGGGCGGAGGACCTGAGGGCCCCCCTGCACCTACTGCTCATTCACTGCGATCTAGTCCTCTTCTGTCACTAAAAACTGATAGCTACTGCTACGTCCTCCTGGGCCAGCCTGCCAGGTCTCACAGGGTCACATTCGCACCCCCAGGGGCCTGTGCATAGGCCACATGGAACCACACAGAATCGTGCATGCACATGCCCCCGCCAGCCCCATGGAGAACCACCTCCAGTCCTGCACGCCTGTGC